CACGACGAGGACATGTTTCCATCCACCAAGTAGGGCGTGGGTCCGCGGGCCAACCCCGACGACGGCGGTGTCGCGACCGGCGATGCGCTCGGCGGCGAGTTTTACTACAGCGCGTGCGCGAGCCTGGGGTTCCCGTTCCCGTTGCCGCTCTTGGCGGTAGGGATGAGTTTGAGATGCGCGCATCTGAGGGCATACCTGTAGATCTTGGGTGTGCGCGGCCATGCTTTTGCAACGCTGGCAGCCTCATGAGCTGGGACCGCGTCCTCGACGAGCGCGCGTGGATGAAGAACCTTCTGAGCGAGACGCGCGCGGCGGCCGGCGTCGGCGTCGTCATGGGCACACGCTTTGGCCGCTTCGAAGCCAACTACTCGTGGGTGCTCAAGTCCCTCGCTGGTGTACGATATACTAGTATTGTCCTGGACTGCGTTGACTACTGTAACATTAGGACCGCGTCAAGCGTGCGCAGCTCGGCCTGGGTCTGCACTTTATCTAGAAGAGCCGTGTATAGAATTGACATAGTACATCTCTTTTTGAGCATCCCTAACCCTCGCTGAACAGACAATTAATTGGTGCGTGACAGCCCCCATTTCATGGTGGTACCGATCAAAGGTGCATCGTCTTGTTGACATGTGGATCGCAGCCGTTCTCGACCGATCGACCGTTGTCGAGTCGTAAGCCGTCGAGGTCTGGCAACAATTAGTCACCACAGAACTTCTATCCACTCGTTGTCCACGCTTCTTAGGGATCGGGTAGTATACGTGTAGGGACGAGTGCGACTGGAACGCCTTGGAGCTGTCCATAGCGTACTCTCGCTGTGTTGCTAAAGACGGCCATGTCACCCCGTCATTGCCCGCAAGCGGCGTCCAATTGACGTCGTTGGACGAGCACGCGATCAACTTGTCGGCTTCTTAACGTCGCAGAAGTACCCACCGCCACCGGAGGTTGGCTGCCGACCCGAGGCGATTGACCCGTTGAAGAGAGCGCCGAACGCGGGCCAAGTTGCCACCTGTGGTGCGTGTGCTGTAATTCAGTGAAACACTAAAGTGCAGCGCGCAACTGGATACAAACAAGGTCCACCTCGCTCCGCGCGAAGAGGACGGTGTCGTGAGGCGAGCTACTTGGCATCCGGAGGCCAAAGATGGAGGTGGCAAGAGACTGCGGGTAGACAAGAGATGGGCCCAGCGCGAGGTGCTCAGCATGAGTTGATGCGGTCAAGACGGCACATCGAGCGGCACAGAGTACTACACAAACGCCCGACCTGGCTCATGAATCCTACTGCGCGACGGAGAACACCCACGATGTACAGCTAGGAGCTACTGCAAGCAGGCGACCTCAATGTTGCACACCGGTATCTCCAACGTATCGTTCATCTCGTCTTCTAAGCCCACCGACGCTTCTCCAACGCGACATTAGAGTTGAGAGCCTCCCGATCTGCTCATCGGTCCAATGCTGCAACTTGCTTCGCCCGCATACATGTATGTATCGCTCTTCGCGCCCTCGCTGGTGGCGCCACGCAGCGCTGCCACCGAGTGCGCCAACGCTTCTGGGACGAGGTGAAGTTGGCACAACCAAAAAGCTCGACCGGTGTAGTACCGTATTGTGCGACCATCTCCTCCAGATTCATTGCAGAAGCCAATCGGTGCACCTTGAAGGCAATCGCTCGCAGTTGAAGTGGACGACCGCACTGGATCCAAGTCAAGTCGTACAACGTACATTCATAACGTACATGCCGTACATTACACTCGTACAACCTATAAGATCGCCATGGGTGTCACTCGCCAACTCGAAGCATGCTGCGTGCACTGCCTCTGCTCTTGCTCGCCTGCGCGGCTGTCGACGCGTGTACCGTCATCGCCGTGACCAAGGGCGCGTCCGCCGACGGCGCGTCGTTGACAGCACACACGGACGACACGGGCGGCGGCGCCGTGGATCTCCGCGTGGCGCATGTGCCGGCCAAGGACCATGCGCCGAACGCAAGCCGCCCCGTGTACGACTACACGGCAGGGTACCCTCGCCTTGTCGCCCATGAGCGCGGACCGCACTACGCACCCACCGAGGTACTATTCCTTCTGCTTCTAAGCGTAGCCGGCAACGAATCGTCGTCGTGTTAGGGCCAATCGCCCATGGTGCCATTAGGATTTATCCCC